TCCAGTGACGAAGCTGCCTCTCCCACTGGGAAAATTTCTGCAAAAACCACCCCTGCTGCGGAACCACACAGGTGCAAGGGAAAAGTGCCCATGGAAGTCTGTGCTGGAGCTGGAAAATTCTGCGCTGTCACACAGAGAAAGCAGTATAGAAAGCAAACCAAAAAGCTCAGGGAGAAAGAGAAGCAAGGGAGGTGATTCTGCCCTTCTCCTCGGCTCAGGTGAGACCCCACCTGCAGTTGTCACCAGCTCTGGAGTCCCCAGCACAGGGAGGACTTCAGCCCCCCAGTACTTGAATAGAGCCTTCAAGAAAGATGGAAAGGGACTATCTACAAGGGCCTGCAGCGACAGGACAAGGGAAATGGCTTCACACTGACAGAGTAGGGTTAGATGGATATCAGGAAGAAATTCCTTGTGAGGGTGGGGAGGCCCTGGCACAGGTTGCCCAGAGAAGCTGTGGCTGCCCCATCCCTGGAAGTGTCCAAGGCCAGGCTGGATGGATCTCTGAGCAACCTGGGCTAGTGGAAGGTGTCCTGCCCATGGCAGGGGGGTTGGAATGGGATGATCTTTAAGGTCCCTCCCAACCCAGGCCATTCCATGATTCTGTGATCCTCAGTGGAACTTTTCCATATTCTCTCCAGTCTCTTTAATTTTCCCCCCCGGTTTAGTGGGTCTCATTGAAAGATAATTATGCACAACATGGCAGTTACTGTAAAAAAGTACCAGCACAGAGCTCCTTAGCAGACACAGGACTCAGTACCCCTTTGTATCCAATTTAAATGCAAAACAGGCTAAAGTCTAGCACTGACTGTCATTGTCACAGGGTACCTTCCACAAAATGCTCACCGGCATCATGAAAATCAGAAGTTACATTCAGTTATGATAATTTCAAGTACTTCTCTCTACAAATGACTCTCAAGAAGCCAGAGAAAGTTAATTGGTCACAATTGTTAGGTTTGGCTTTGTCTTTTGTAACGCTGTTATGGGCTGCCAGTTTCAGAATTCTGATTAATCACTGCAGAGACTGCGCACAAAAAACCCCACAGCAAGTCATAAATTAATTAGAAGGATTACCCAAGTGGAAGATATCCCAGATATTATTGAATCATGTCTCCTTACCTATCAAAAAATAAATACCAACCCTTTTGTAAACAGATGTGAACAGAAGCAATGACCTAATTTTTACAGGCTTCAGGCAAGGGGCAGGGGATGTGCAAAATTGTGGAGATTCCCTGATAACATAAGTTGGCAAAACCCCACAGAAAATAATCCACTTCAGCCCTAAAAAAGGCTAAATATCCTTTGCTATAGTTTTGTAACTGCAGCCAAGCAAACACCAGTGTTAGTTAGAAATGGCAATAGTTAGCTTCCAGAAGAGCAGGAGTCATCATTTTATCTTAGAATGGAAACAAGCAACTCCAAACTCCTGGGGCAGCATTTGTGCCCAAGTATGAATTCCCAACCCTGTGGGCAAAAATGTGGCATCTCAGCATTTATGACCATTAGAAGGAAAACATAGGAGTCCAGCACAGCTATTTATTTACAAGGTCCTAATTTTTCTTACTTTCAGCCACAAGGGGCCCCTTAAAAAAGAGACTGACTCTGGTTTATCACTTACAATTCAATTCATCACAATTTCCAGTGAAACAGCTTGAGTTATGTTGGGTTAAACATCAGAGCTATTTACATTTTTCTGATGTCTCCTGTGGAACTCTTCTGTCTTCCATGTTTTTCTACCCCCCCTGGTTCACC